GAGTGAACTGCCAATAATCTTTTCTGCCACCGTCACAATGAGAGAAATAAGCTTGGTTGATACTTCTGCTGCAACTGAGACCCAGGAGGGTTGTGTAAGAGGGAAGTGTCAGCTCTACTTGTGATGGAAAGCAGCATTGCAACAGGCACCATCGCTTAGTCACTGGTGGGCAGTGTAACTATGTAATGAGGCATGGTTTCTGTCCGAACAGGTAGCAAGGAAAAGGTTTTTTTTTTTTTAAAGTGACGCCAAGACAACAACATGTATGAATGATTCAGCAGTGGAGTTGCTCAAAGGATTCCAGTGAGTAAGCTGGAATCTTTGAGGAAGTGAGAAACTCACTGCAACAACAGGACAAAAGGAATCTCTTTAGAAGATAGGCTCAAGGATCTTTAGAAGATAGGATCTCAGCAGAGTTGAGCATCGGTGCCTATCCAGCAAAATGAAACTCAACCGTGAGAAAAGTAAGGTCTTACACGCAGGCAAGAAAAACCACATGCCCAAGCACAGGGAGACCTCAGCTTACAACCAAGAGTTGAGCCCCAAATTTATGTTGCTAAGTGAGACATTTGTTAAGTGAGCTTTGGCCCATTTTATGACTTTTCTTGCCACGGTTGTTAAGTGAATCTCTTCAGTTCTTAAATTAGTAACACAGTTGTTCAGAGAATCTGGTTTCTCCGCTGACTGTCGGGTTTCCAAGTGATGAAATCCATTAAAAAAAAAAAGCCAAAATCTATATTCAAAAAAGACTTCTTTTATTTAGGAAAGCATCAAATTGGCAAAAATCCATGGTAATTCCTGATCTGACACAATGCGGAATTAACCCACAATATTAAAAGTTAGAAGCAACCCCTCAAAAGTCACATTCTCCAATAGAAGTAATTCAATGTTGCTTGATGTCATAAACCTCCACCTCAAGGGTCTAAGCACGGACAGCTCATTTTCCCACAGGAAGAAGAATCACCTAGTCTAAACAACTCTCCTTAGCTCCACTCCTCCCCCCTTAGGGATGTGGCAAACCCGAACCCCTTCCCCCCATGACTGCCACAGAGACAGTAAGAAAAAGAATATATACTAAGCCTAACTAAAATGGCTACACTTATGTCAATTTCGGACTCGACACTGACTTTGCTTGTCAGAAGGATGCAAAAGGGAATCGCGTGACATGGCAACCATCATAAATGGGATTCAATTGTCAACCGCAGGGATGCTGCAATGGTCGTAAGTGTGAAAAATGGTATAAGTTTTCTCAGTGCCGTTATAATTTTGAACGGTCACTAAATGAACCATTGTTAAATCGAGGACTACCTGTGTAGAAAAGATGGTGTCTGACTCAACAGTAGTAACTGTGAGACGTCCTAGTGGACAACCATTTAAATATGAGCCAGATGTGTGCTGCAGCTGCCAAAAAAAGCCAACGCAATCCTAGGCTGCATCAACTGAAGGATACTATCAAGATCCCATGAAGTGTTAGCATCACTTTATACTGGTAAGACCACACTTGGAATATTGTGTCCAGTTTTGGTTCCCATGAGAGCAAAAAAGATGTTCAATTTATACTATAAAGAGTGCAAAGAAGAGCAACTAAGATGAATAGGCAACTGGCACAGTGGTGGTATTCAAATTTTTTTACTACCGATTCTGTGGGCTTGGCTTGATGGGCGTGGTGTGGCTTGGTGGGCGTGGCAGGGGAAGGATATTGCAAAATCTCCATTCCCTCCCCACCCCACCAACCTGCTTTCCAGCTCTGTCCTCCTGTGCAGGGCAACAAAAGAAAACCCAGCCAATCAGCTGGGACTCAATGGGAGGCTGAGAAGAGATAGGGGCAGGCCCAGTCAGAGGTGGGATTGGCCGGTTCTCTGAACTACTCAAAATTTCCTCTACCGGTCCTCCAGAAGTGGATTCAGAACCTGTTGGTGCACCTGTGCATGTCTGCCAGCCCACTGGTCATGCAGTCCAGTTCTGAATAGACCACAGTCCAATAGTGGGCTATGGCCCAGTGGTTGGGCACCTTTGAACTAGGAGTTATATGTGGTCCATTGCCATATAGTTTGTATGGTTTTTATATAGGTTATATATTTTGTATTGTTTTGTCCTTTCTATAAACAAAGTATAAAGGACAAACTATATAGCTTTTTCATTGTAAGCAGTCAAAATCATGAATTTGAGATGAACCTATAAACTGAGGTAATAAAAATAAAGAACAGACATGCTCAGCCTGGTAGCATTAATAAATATAGGAAGAGTCTGAGCCAACTTCCATTTCTGAGACTGCAAAGCTTTCTGGGGAAAAGTGCCATTAAGATCTGTCTCGATAGAACAAACTAATGTAGGATTGTGCTGCCAAGTTGCCTAAATAGAATCAGATTTGGAAGCAGGAGAGTTGACACCGGGACAAGGGAATTGGTGCCTCCTGCTGTCAAGACTGAAGATACTGTATTTATTGGAAAGGGATTACCAATAACGTTGGAGAGGCTCACATTCACCAAGAGGTCCACATTCACCAATAAAACGTTTTTGATCACCATGATATAGAAAATATTTGGGTCTCTTGAAAGAGTGCAGAGAAGAGCAACAAAGAGGATGGTGGGAATGAAGGCTAAACCATATGGAGAACAGTTGCAGGCAATTGAGTATATCTAGCTCAATGAAAAGAAGGACTAAGGTGATAGGGTACCAGAGATAGGATAGCAGAGAAGGAGGTGGCTGGATGGAGTCCCTGAAGCAGTCGGTGTGAGCTTAAATGGACTCCAGAAGATGGTAGAGGACAGGAAGGTCTGGAGGAACATTGTCCATGGGGTCGCGATGGGTCGGACACGACTTTGCAACTTACAACAACAGCAACAAGGCCCGTTCCAACTGTGTTAATTTGGTGTTCTGTTAAAGATACTATGGAAAAGTGAATGGGTGACAAGTGGCTAGAATGGAGGGGAATGGGAGGGACTTCAGGGTCCAAAAATGCTTCTCTCTCAAGTATTCCTTTTAGAGCTAAGGTAGAACTCCATAAGTTATATTTTCATGAGGGGAGCTTGGTGATCTCTGAGCTTGGTTGTTTTCTAGCAGATGATTCATTGCTAGGTATCATTATCAGTGGTGGTTAGGTTCTCAGTCCATGCCCAACATTTTAAAAAAAATGATATTGCTGTAGGAAAAACAGTTATACAACATTGAAAGATTCCATGGAAACAGGGAATATGCCAGGAATGACAGAATAACAGAGCTGTTTTCTGGGCCATTTTCAGGCCATTTTGGGGTTGTTTTCAGGCCATTTGGGGGGGCCATTTTCAGGGCATTTGGGGGGCATTTTTGGCCCCAAAAATGGCCTGAAAAGGGGCTGAAAATGGCCCCCAAATGGCTGTTTTTCAGGCTGTTTTCTGGTGCTCCAGCACCCCAAAGATTAGATGGCCAGCACACATGTGCATGTCAGAAACCAGAAGAGCAGCTGTGCTCTGCGAGCCACCTCTGGCATGCGTGCCCTAGGTTCCCCATCACGGCTATATACCATTCCTGACAAATGGCTGTCCTTCTTAGAAACCCAGTTGAACCCACATCTTCCGAAGGCTTAATTTTAATACATTTAAAGATAGATAGAAATTAATTAATAGAAGGATTAATATTAATACTGTTAGTAGAAGGATTAATTTTAACATATTTCATTAAGTCCTGTTTCCATATCTCTTTAATGAGGGGGGTGGAATGTGTAAAAGACTGTCAAACAATCTGCCTATGTCAATATTAAGAGTATAGCAAGCTGGAGGAATTAAGTGGTATTAGTTCATTCAATTTTCATCCTCTAGGACAGATAGCAGTCTGCAGAAATAGGGCTTATACTTTCGCTATGTGGAAAGCATTGATTGTGAACTATTAAAATGTATTTGCTTAATTACTCATTTCTCAGATTCCATAACATTTATTTGAATCTCATTTACTTATTCATCTAGGTATGTGAGAAGAAATTCATACCAAGTAGATCCTTTGCACTTTGCTCCTAGTGCACAGATTTTTCTGATTCATCTAAACTAGATGAATGCATAGAACAAAAACTGAGAAATGTTGAATTTATGATCCACTAGCTCAATACCCGTGCTTCACTACAAAACTACGTGATCAGACTTAGTTTTGGGGGAGGAAAATAAGGAGGAAAAAATTCTGCCTCTGCCTACCAGCATCCATCGGTATTCATCTGGCTAGTGTGTGAGAGAGTTGAGGGCTGTTTGGAAAGTGAAACAGAATTTGCTGTGTGAGCAAGAAGGAGACAGCAAGGAACCCAGATGTGGCTTAGCTCAACTGCAGTTGGAACAGATTTCTTTTCAGGTAGGGAGGGGGAGTAGAATGTTAATAATAATATACGAAATACTAATGCTCTGATGGTCATCTTGAAAAATCCTTTCTTAGTGAGCACCCAGAGGCCAAGAGGAACATACGTGCCAAATTTCAAGTTTATTTATATATATATATCTGTGCTTCTCACAGAGCCGAAGACACAAGCCTGAAGATGATGAATGAGACTTCATCGAAACGTTGCCTAGATACTTTGAATCTTATGCGGGAGAAAACCCGAACAACCAAAGATCCATATAGACCTTGGAGGTCTTCTAGTCTGACTCCTTGCTCAAGCAGAGATTATATATTACCCCAGACAAATGTCTTGAAAACCTCCAGTGATGGAGCACCCACAATTTCTGGAGATAAACTTTTCCAACTGGTCAATTGTTCTCAATGTCAGGAAATGCCTCCCTACTTCTAGGCTGGCTCTCTGTTTAACAAGCTTCCACCATGCCTTCTCGACCTGCTTTCTGGTACGAGCTGATCCAGCATTTCCCGCTTCTCTTGACTGACTTTCACATCTTACTTGCCATACCCAAGCAGAATTTTTTTTTTTATTTCAAAGGTTGATTTGTCCTACAAAAGTATTTAATACGACTTCCTTCCATTGTTTCTTGCACACCATTAAAGAGGCTGATTTTCCTGATCACAGCATTGTGTTAAGGACTGGACGGAAGCAACAGCCTGCCTTTATCTTCCCTTTGAACGAACAAGAGTTCCTGCCTGGCTTGTACAATTGGGAATAAATAGTCGGCAAGGCCAGTCCAATGTAGCCTCCTGCAGCCGAGTGAGCTCCGACCCCAGAGAGGCTCATGGATGATGGACAACGGATTCTGGCATAAAGCAGAGGTATCTAAGCCGTTCTTCAAAGAGACCACTTGGCCAACACTCCTTGCCTTGAGTGTTGCCCAGTAGGTCAAGTCTAATTCCAGGATCTATGTGAGGAGGGAAGATCTTCAAGAGGAATACTGGCTTAACATTATCATTCTGGTTTTATTCGAGGCAAACAATTCTTCCTGGAATAAGGATTGGGTAACAGCTATGTTTAATGAGATACAATCCCAGTGAACAATGTGTTGGGTGGAGGGATCATTCCTGAGTTTTGGATAGGAGAAGAATCAGCAGAGTTTTGGATAGGAACAGAATCACTAGAATTTTGGATAAAACCAGAACCTCTAAAGCCAAGCCGGTTGTTAGTCTTGCATTGCGTGTTGGATCCCTACTTGGCAGTCAACCAGATAGTCTCCCCCTTGGCCCTCCAATGGGATCTTTGTAAGGTTGCATTGAGCTCAAAAGTAGTTTAGAACTTATTCGGATTTGTGATTTCAAAAAAAAAATGCTCCTTGAGACTTGCCTTAATTTCTAGGACTCTTTTGACTGCTGTATTAAGAAACTGTTGGGATGACTACCAGCAATATTTCTATACAGGTTTCAAATTGTCTCAAACTCATAGGGGGAGTTGAATTGACCAGATGTAAATGCACATCAGTGAAAAAGAAAAAAAAACAATGGATATGATTTTGTACAGGGAGTTGAGCTGACGAGATGTAAATGTGTTTGAATGAGAAGAGGAGGAAAAAAAAAAAAGCAATGGATAGGATTTTGCTGGGCTAACATTCCATCCACCCTTCCTTGGAGCAAATCCAGTGTAATCCAACAACCACAGGATTGTGCTGAAAACTTGGGATTTTTCTCCTAATTATTCTTTTTTTTTTTTTTTTAACAATTCTTCCATAGATGGTTGGATCCAGATTTTTACTCCTGCTGCTCTTAGCTCTGCCTGTATCAACGCTGGGTAAGAAGTCCACCATTTGCTATTATCGTGGCATTCTTGTTCAAAAAACAACCAGCACGAACAGCACATGCTTTCTGCTCCGTGTGTAGTCACCTTGCAAAATATTGCTGTCTGTTAGTGACTGTCAAGTCATTAGCATGTATTAGCAATTTATACCCTCCCCCAGAGATCTAAAGTTTAGGTTTATCCCTTACAGTAACCTGGTACAAAGGATTGCAAGTAATTTGAATCCAAGCCTTGGCTATTGACTTTCCTAACCAAATTCGGGATTCTTCAGGCAAATCCTAGCAAACCATGTAACGGTTTAGAGTATATGAATGAAATTGGTGATTTCCTAACTTGATCCACTGCCAAGCCACAGGAGGAAAGGATCACTGCTGTTTTTCCTTCTTGGTCCCTTTCCCAAATTCTCTAGGTTTTGCCAAAAGAAAATTTGGGGGCAGAAAGGAGAGCTACCTTGCTCCTTGGTTTTTCTCCTTTTTCTCTGCTGCAAATAGTTGTCGCGTTCAGTGAGAAAACCCTGCCCATCTCTTATTTTGACTTCATTTCACTGAGGGGTTGAGAGTAGGGCAGGCCATTTAGAGGGGAAAAAAATGACTGGCTGTGCTGAGTTTCGATTTTCTAGTTTGAATGCCGAGTGTCACCGCTTTTGAAAACGGTAGAAGTTCATCGAATGTTTTATCCACATGGACATCCTACAGGGCTCTCCAACCTTGGCAACTTTAAGACTTGTGGATTGCAACTCCCAGCTTTGATGGCTGAGGAATTCTTGGAATTGCAATCCACAAGTCTTAAAGTTGCCAAGGTTGGAGACCCCTGTTCTACGTTAACCAGAGGTGAGTCTTCAGCAGCTTCTGACCAGTTCTGTAGAACCGGTAGCGGACATTTTGAGTAGTTCAGAGAACCGGCAAATACCACCTCTGACTGGCCCCACCCCCATCTATGCTCTGCCTCCCATTGAGTCCTAGCTGATGGGCTGGGTCTTCTTTGGTTGCCCTGCACAGGAGAACAGAGCTGGAAAGCAGGTTAGTGAGGTGGGGATGAGAATGGAGATTTTGCAGTATCCTTCCCCTGCCATGCCCACCAAGCCAAACCCACAGAACTGGTAGTAAAAAGTTTTGAATCCCACCACTGACTTTAACTAATCATGATCTTACAGGGCAAAAAGACTTCTCTGCGCCATATGCACGCTGTAGCCTTTTTGGAGGCGATCACATCCAAACCTTTGATGAACTGATGTATGATTTCGCCGGCGACTGCAGCTACCTGCTGGCTGGAGACTGTGAAAAGAGATCTTTCCTCTTGCTTGGTGAGTTTCAACTACGTTTTGATTATGCTATGGAATGCCTCTTGGACGTTGTCTGAAGTTCTCCACGTTTTTGGAAATTAGAAGAACAAACATTTCAGCTAAATGTAAGGGAGCTTGCTTAGAAATGGAAGCAGTTCAACAAAATATGGAATGTAGAATAATAGGGTTGGAAGGGACCTTGGAGGACTTCTAGTCCAACCCCTGCTCAAGCAGAAGACCCTATACCGGGGGGGGGGTCTTCAAACTTGACAGCTTGGAGACTTGTGGACTTCAACTCCCAGAATTCCTCCTCCAGTCATGTTAGCTCAGGGATTCTGGGAGTTGAAGTCCACAAGTCTTAAACTTGCCAAGTTTGAAGACCGTTGTTGCCCTATATTATCCCAGACAAATGACTGTCAAGTTTCTTCTTGAAAACATCCAATGATGGAGCATCCACGGCTTCTGGAGGTAAGCTGTTCTCACTGATTCATTGTTCTCACTGATAGGAAACTGATCTTTAGTTCTAAGTTGGATTTTTCCTTGAGATCTTTCAGTCTTTTCTTCTTATCTTGTCCTCAGGTGTTTTGGAGAATAGGGTGACCCTGTCTTCTCTTTGATAGTCCCTCAGATACTGGAATGCTGTTATCAGATCACCCTAGTCCTTCTCTTTGTTAGACTAGACATACCTTTTTAGATTAACAGAATTGGAAGGGATCTTGTAGGTCATCTAGTCCAACCCCCCACCCAAGCAGGAGACCCTACACCATTTCTGACAAATGGCAGTCCAATCTCTTCTTGAAGGTCTCAAATGATGAAGCTCCCACTACCCCTGAAGGCAACTTCTGTTCCATTGGTTGATTGTTCTCACTGTCAGAAAGTTTCTCCTTGTTTCCAGGTTGAATCTCCCCTTGTTCGGTTTCCATCTATTATTCCTTGTCTGGCTTTCAGGTGCCTTGGAAAATAGATTGATCCCTTCCTCTCTGGGGCAGCCCTTCAAATATTGGAAGACTGCTATCATGTCTCCCCTGGTCCTTCTCTTTACTAGACTAGCCAAGCCCAGTTCCTGCAACTGTTCGTTGTATGTTTTAGCCTCCAGTCCCCTAATCATCCTAGTTGCTCTTCTCTGCATTTTTTCTAGAGTCTCAACCTCTTTTTTTAATAATGTGGTGACCAAAACTGGATGCAATACTCTAGGTGTGGTCTTACTAAAGCTTTGTAGAGTGATATTAGTACTTAGTTCCCTCAATCGTTCATCGTATGCTTTAGCCTCCAGACCCCTTATTACCATAGTTGCTCTTCTCTGTATTCTTTCTGGGGTCCCACTAGTGTTAAGTTGATCTTACCCAACTCAAAACCTCCCAATAAATGGCTTGCACCAATCCTGTCATAGACAGCCAACCATCTCTCTCAATCCCAGGTTCTACTTCCCGTGTCTTCTTACCTTCCTCCCATCCTAAATGGAGACATCAATCTGCCTCAACATCTTTTTTAAAAAAAATCATACTGTCCAACTGGATCCTCCTTCACTAGAGATTTCAGACAGATTTTTGACATCTGTCTATCATGAATGGTGTGCCACTAGATTTCTTTTTTTGTATTATCGGCGCACCAGGGGATGTGACTTTTGGAGATTTTTCCCGTGATTCCACGAAATTACAAAAAAAGCCATTTTGTACTTCTGTTAAAAATGATGCATATTTTTTTTAATTTGAACTTTTCTGCAAGCATTTTTCATTTGTTCCAGCTATCCATGTAAAAAAAGTACGGCCTTGAAGATTTTGCACGATTTTTGGAACTTAGCACCCCGAAGAGCTGTCATTATACTAAATATGAGCAATAAGAACAATTGCTTCTCATAATTTACCCATAATTGTTAAAAAAGAGAGCTAGCCAATGATTGTTAGCAAAAATGCCACTAACCTTTTTTTTTTTTGTTTCGTTTCAGGTGATTATCACAATGGAAAAAGAACCAGCCTTTCTCTGTACCTTGGAGAATATTTTGATATTCATGTGTTCTTAAATGGCACTGTGACTCAAGGGGAAAAAAGGTAAACATTTTGGTCACGTTGACATCAGTGCAGGTAGTCCTCAACTTAGAACATTAATTTAGTGACCGTTTGAAGTTACAATGGCACTGAAAAAAGGAACTTGAACATTTTTCACACTTATGACCTTTGCACAGCAGTCTCATGATCATGTGATTAAAATTCAGATGCTTGGCAACTGTTTCATACTTATGACCGTTGCTGTGTCCCAGGGTCATATGATCCCCTTTTGCAACCTTCAGACAATCAGAATCCATTTTCAAAGCTCTGTTCCTAACTTAACAACTGCAACAATTCACTTAGCAACTGTGGCAATATAAATTATGATAAAGACTATTGAGTTAACAGAAGCATATATTACTCCCCACAGCAAAGAGAAGCAAAGAGATGGTCCAATGGATTCTTTTATCCAAAGAAGAAAATATACCTAACCTTATTTCTAGTCTGAAATTGCTTCTGGATTTTGTGCTTGCAATGAAAAAAAATACATGAAACTTTGATTTTGTTTTTTTGTTAACTAGATAGGCTTATTGTTATAGGAATGATTTGGACTTACTGTTATGTAAAAGCAAAAAGCTATGGTTGTAAAGTTGTTATCTTCTACTGTGCTAAAGAGAGTCAGACATTGGTACCTTTTTCTTTCTTGTGATGACCCGGGGCGTGGCACAAAAGCAGCAAAGTCACAAAAGTAGGTAAAGTCCCTTTAATACCTCCAACTTGGCCCCCAATGTCCAGTTATCTTCGGCTGGAGAAAAAACTCTCCCAAGAACAGTTTTTAAAGGGAAGAAATTCAGTCTGACCCCAAGGTACATATAGGTTATAAGTAAAAGCCAACACAAACCAACGCTGCAGCAATTAACGAGACAAGGCAGGATAAGGAAAGGCAGACTTCAAAAGATAATGAAACACACACAATTGGGAGAATGCCAGAACCTAGATAAGACTAGAAAAGATAATGCATGCTTTGCTTCCAGCAAGGTGCTGTGCGCAAACACCCTTTATATCCTGTTTTCCCTGCTGCAGCTAAAGAAGGGAATCAGGGCCCTTTTCTCCCCCATAACCTACGTTGCTCCCATATCCATTCCTCCCTGCGTGCCCTAGGATGAAGAGGGGGTGGGCCTGAGTCTTCCTCTGAATGCCCAGCCAGACTGTGCCCTTCCCCAGTTTCTTCCACAGCCACCAGAGCCACACTCCCCCTCCCTGTCAGCTGCTCAACCTCCCCCTCAGAATCAGATTCCAATAGGGGCATGACATTTCTTTATCTCCCTTTACACTATATTTCTTTTATTTCTCTTCCCTTCCCCCCCGCTTCTTAGGTTTCCACTACTATTTTTTTTAAATTTTACTTTGTATTTTATATTTTGAAAAACCAATAAAAGTCATACCCGAAGAACAATGGGGGCAAGACAGGTCATAAAACAGGGCCAAATTTACTTGACAACTGTCTCATTTAGCAACAGAAATTTGGGGCTCAGTTGCGGTCCTAAGTCGAAGACTACCTGTATTACAGAATCAAAAGTACCGTGTTCTATTCTGAGCCGAATACTAAGGGAATCTCTCCTTCCTCTTGTAAAAAAGGATTTTGGTACCCTATGCCTCAAACGGAGTCTTTCTGGAAAGGGAAGCCGGCTATTATAAGATGTCCGGTGAGGAACATGGCTTCGTGGTGAAGATTGACACCGATGGGAATATCCTTCTAAGCCTGCCAGAGAAACACTATAATAGGACCTGTGGACTCTGTGGGAATTTCAACCGATTTGCTGAGGATGACCTCATGACCCAGGAAGGTAAGTATTCAGTATGTGCTGAATAATATCTTTTGGTATTGCCTTTGTCATGCTGCTGTTGGAGTCTGACTCCAAGGAGGAAGCTGAACAGCTGACAGGGAGCAGAAATGTGGTTCCGTTGGCTATAGAGGAAACTGGGGAAGGGCAAAGTCCGGCTGGGTAGAGCAGGGGAGAGTTAGAACAAGGGAGAGGGAATTCAGAGGAAGATCCAGGCCCACCCTCAGGCCCTTCACCCTAAGGCACGCAGGGAGAAGAGAGCAACGTGGGTTGCCTGGCTTACGGGGGTAGGAAAGGGCCCTGATTCCCTTCATTAGCTGCAGCTGGGAACACAGTGTATATAAAAAAAAGGGCAAGCTGCATGCAGCAGGTTGTTGGGAGCAAACGTGAATTTATCTTGTATCGTTGTGGCTTATCTGTGATCCTGGCATCTTCCCAACTGTGTGCGTTTTGCCATGCCTTCAAGTCTGAAATTCTTGCTCCTGCCCTGTCAAACTAATTACTTCAGTTTGGCTTGTTTGGACTTTAAGTTAGATTGTGTTTACCCTAGTTAGGTCTTAATTTTCTACAGTAAAAGGCTGTTCCTGGGAGAGTTTTTCTCCAGCCAGAAGCTAACCTGGACATTGGGGGAAAAGTTTGAGATGATAAAGGGATTCTTATTGAGTATCTGACTGTGTTGCCTTTGTGCCACGCCCCGAGTCATCACAGCCTTCTTTCCTGTAATGTTTACTTGAAAGCTTCTAATATTCCTCACTCGGTTCTTCATTGTGTCTGGAGCTCATCACTTTGCAGGGCATCTGTGTCAGCCTTGTGGGGTAAGCTAGATAAGAAACACAACTAGATGAGCTCATTCCACTTTACTGCGAAGCTACATTTGCATAATCTTGCAAGTAAGGAAGCACACTCACCCTTCCCCAGGTCTTCTTTACAGCCTAAGAAACTAGGGAGGGTCTCCTTTGAGCCTCTTCCTCACCTGTTCTGCAGCTTTGGGTCAGGCTGTCTGTTGTCTGACGGTTCCCTTGGCTGCCACTTTTCACCCGATCTCCAGCCCTTGCTTATCCATGGAGACCAAGTGGAACAAGTGGCCAGTTTTAAGTTTCTGGGTGTTACCCTAAAAAGAGGACCTGACCTGGGGTGCTCTCATTGCAGCCCTGGTCAAAAGAGCCCAGCAAAGATTATAGTACATGAGACTTCTCAGGAAACAACAACTGAATGCAAAACTGCTGGTGACCTTCTACCGCTGCACCATAGAGAGTATCTTAACTCACTGCACCTCTGTCTGGTTTGCCAATTGCACAGGGGCAGATAGGACAGCACTCCAGAGGGTTAACGTCATTGCCCAGAGGATCATTGGTTGTCCTCTCCCCTCTTTGGAAGAGCTTTATAGTTCCCGCTGCCTTAAGAAAGCTCAAAACATTCTCAAAGATCCATCTCATCCTGGGAACCCTTTTTTTTAAACTATTACCCTCTGGCAGACAGTACAGGATAATAAAAACAAGGTCAAATAGGCTGAAAAACAGCTTCTATCCCAGGGCAGTAACTCTATTGAATTCTGCTGTATAGTGCAGTATTGGTGCAGTGTTGCGGGTTTTCGTTTCAATGTGTGGCGGGTGAAGGATGTGTGTTTGTGTTTATTTTCATGGTCATAATAGGCATTGAAGATGGTGTTTGATTTAGTTGTACGAGGTGCAATGACAATAAACTAAACTAAACTAAATATGTTTCAGTTTCCAGTCCCCTAATCATTTTTGTTGCTCTTCTCTGCACTCTTTCCAGAGCCTCAACATATTTTTTGTATCGCGGTGACGAAAACTGGACACATTATCCCAAGTGTGGTTTTAGCAAGGCTGTACATAGCAGTACTAATACTTCATGTGATCTTGATACTATTCTTCTGTTGATGTAGCCAAGGATAAAATTGGCTTTTTTGGCAACTGCATCACACAGGAGGCTCATATATAAGTGGTTGTACACTAGGACTCCTAAATCCTTGTCCCAGCTACTACTGTTGAGCCAAGTGCCATCTATTCTATGCCTGTGTATTTGATTTTCCTTGCCTAAGTGTATGATCACTTACTTTTCTTGCCACTGAATTGCATTTTGTTGGATAGGGCTGAGTGTTGAAGTCTGTCAAGATCCTTCTATCTTCTAAAGTGTTGGCTATTCCTCCTAGCTTAGTGCTGTCTGAAAATTTGACGAGTTGCCCTTCTAAATCTTTTTTTAGATTTAAATCTTTTATGAAGATTCATTTAAATCTTTTATGAAGACGTTGAAGAGAACCAGGCCTAAAACAGAATCTTGGGGTACCCCTCATGACTATTAAACTTTAATGGCAGCTGTGAGCTCTCATGAATAAAAAAGATGACAAATGATAGGCTCAAGATCCAGGTGGATTTTGACAGACTTGAACACTGGGCCCACTAACAAAATGAAATTCAATGTAGAGAAAAGTAAAGCCTTACACTTAGGCAAGAAAAACCAAAACTACACATATAGACTGAGTGAAAGTAGACTTAATAGCAGTAACTGTGAGAGGGATCTTGGAGTCTTAGTGGACAACTAATTAAACACGAGCCAACAGTGTGCAGCGGCAGCCAAAAAAGCCAATGCAATCTAAAGTTGCATTAACAGAAGGAGACAATCGAGATCAAGGGAGGTACTAATGCCACTCCTTAAAACCTTATCTAGAGTACTGCATCCAGTTTTGGTCACCACACTACAAAAAAGATGTTGAAACTCTAGAAAGAGCACAGAGAAGAGCAACAAAGATGATTAAGGGACTGGATATACGTATGATGAACGATTACAGGAACTGGGCATGGCTAGTCTAGTGGAGAGAAGGACCAGGGGAGACATGATAGCAGTCTTCCAATATTTGAGGGGCTGCCCCAGAGAGGAAGAGGTCAAGCTATTCTCCAAGGCACCTGAAGGCCAGACAAGGAACAATGAATGGAAACTGATCAAGGAAGACATCCAACCTGGAAATAAAGAGGAATTTTCTGACAGTGAGAGCAATCAACTAATGGAACAGAAGTTGCCTTTGAAAGTTGTGGGAGCTTCATCACTGGAGGCTTTCAAGAAGAGATTGAACTGCCATCTGTCAGAAGTGGTATAAGATCTCCTGCTAGGGTGAGGGGGTTGGTCTAGAGGACCTACAAGATCCTCTTCCAACACTGTTAATCTGGTAAAGATATTGCTTGATCAGGGTGGATTTCTTAGCCTGGTTTCTGCTGAACACTGTGTGGCTGTAGAGATTTTTCCAGATCAGCTCCTCCACTGCCTTTCTCTGAATACACTTTCTTATAGGGTGCGCAATCTCCCAAACCCATTTTCCTCCGAGTTGATGGGTTTTTATTTTTCTAGTCGCTTTCTTTTTGGGAGAAGCTACACAGGGCTCTCTGATCCAGATCTGGAGTTGCGTGTTCACAGCTTTGTTCTTCCAACTGGGAAAAATTGCAATTTGCAATGCAAAAGCCAAAAAGAGTGTTTACTGCAAATGGCCTGCTGGAAGGCAAGTGGCAGGTGATGCGGGAAACACCTCTTAGGGAAGCTTTTGTCCTGGGTGCAGCCAGGGCAGAGTTGAGCCCACCACTGAAATGTGCCTTTAAACATCTCGTAACCCCTACTTGAGGTAGGGCTGGACAAAGTTGAAGAATTTTAATATATCTGATTTAAGCTCCGGGGCCGCTGCACAGAAAGAAAAAAAAAACACGTACTAGAATAAAACATTGTGCAATTTGAAATCTTTTGGAAAGGGTCGGTATGTTAACAGCCAAATGTGGAACGGGCACTTCTGGTTGTTTTGGCTGATTTTATTTCAGCACAGATGATTCACTATACCTGGGAAATGTGTACTTCTATTTTTTTTAAAAAAAAATAATGGAATGTTGACTCAGTTGAAGAGTGCTGCATTTGGGATTAGGAAATTTTCTAACAAGCTCAAAAGAAAAGAAAAGCAAGGAAGGACAAAAGTGCAGGTAGACCTCAACTTACAAGAGTTCATTTAACAACCGTTCAAAGTTACAACGGCACTGAAAAAAAAGTGACTTGGGGCTCCTTTTCACCCTAATGACCATTGCAGCCTCCCCGTGGTCACGTGATCAAAATTTGGGTGCTTGGCAATTGGTTCATATTTATGACGGTCCCTTGGTCTTCTGGAATGCAGCCCCTCCCTCCTGGAAAGCCACAAAAGGTGACAATCAGGGCAAGCTGGTTGAGACCCTTCCCCTCATCTACCGTCTTTCCTTGAAAATAAGATCCTTTCTTATATTTTTTTTGCCACCCAAAAAAGCACCAGGTCTTATTTTCGGGGGATGTCATCCACTGACTAACCTCACTTGCACGCATCACCCTGGCCTCCTTTTCGCTGTCAGAGGCCTTCAGGAATTTCTTCTGCTGCTGCCAGCTAGGCTTTCTTGAAGGCTTCTGCAGCCGATAACAGAGCTCCGGATCAATCCTGAGCTTTGTTGTCAAGCTACAGAGGCCTTCAGGACAGCCTTGCCAGCCTTGCTGGCTGCAGAAGAAATGGGCCAGCAAGGCAGGTGGTGGGGTGTGCAAGGCCTGGCTACAACTGTCCAAAGGTAAGTAGTAGGGCAGCTCCACTTCCCCTCCAACCCCACCCTAGCTTAATTTTTACCCATCCATTCTGGAGTGGGTGGGATCTTAATTAGGGCTTATTTTTGGAAGTAGGGCTTATATTGGGTGCATGTGTAAAAATCAAGCTAGGACTTACTTTTGGGGTAGGTCGTATTTTCGGGAAAACGAGGTACTTCTTGTCATTTGCTTCAATGGTCAACGATGCAAAGACGGGACTCTCCAGCAATGTTTGCAAGGCAGGAACTATTTGAATTTTCCTTCCTCCATGAGTCCTGAACTCCAGAGACTCAGTTTCCAAAGAAAACACGGAGCCCTCGTTGGATGTCTCTTGGGACCTTCCTCAATGCCCTTAAAGGGTCCATCCCATCTGACATAAATTTTGGAATCCTTGGTGCTCTCTGAGCTTGTTGATTTCTTGCAGACGTTTCATCACCCGACTAGGTTGCTCTGCATCTACCAGAAAACAACAAGCTCAGACAGCACCAAGGATTCCAAAACTGAAGTCAGGATGAAATAGGTTTGGGTGATGAAACATCTGCAAGGAAACGAACCATCTGGGAGAGCACCAAGGATCCTGCAACTCAGCCCTGATCTGCAAATATTCTCTTCCATTGGGGGCTTCAATTTTAGTCTTTATTCTTTTGATTTTAAAAAGAGGACATGCAAATGGTGGCCACCAAAGCATCTGAAGTACCTTTGATTCTGAGCATGCTTCTGGATTCAAATAGGCTTTGGGAGGCACCTTTGGCAAATAATAAAGGATGTTGGCAGATCAGGGTTTTGTCTGAAAGGTTTGGCAGTGTTTCAGCAAAAATAGAGGGACGTTCTGGGTCTGGTTGTTGTTGTTAGTTGCAAAGTCATGTCTGGCCCATCGCTACCCCATGGACAACGTTCCTCCAGGCCTTCCTGTCCTCTACCTTCCTCCGGAGTCCATTTAATCTCACGCCGACTGCTTACTTGCTTGCTTGCTTGCTTGCTTTATCTATCTATCTATCTATCTATCTATCTATCTATCTATCTATCTATCTATCTATCTATCTATCTATTTGATTGGTCAATTGTTTACAAGATAATAAGTATATACATAGTTATGAATACATGAAATGGGTACATATAAGAAAGATAAAAGAAACAATAGGACAGGGAGGGTAGGCAGGTTGGTGCGCTTATGCATACCCCCTACAGGCCTCTTAGGAAAGGGGTGAGGTCAAATAGTAGACAGTCTAAGGTTAAGGTTTTTGGGGTTTGGGTGACTCCATTCAGTCACATTCATTCTTCAGTGACTCCATTCAGCCACCTCATTCTCTGCCGTCCTCTTCTTTTTCACTCAATCGTTCCCAGTAGTAGTCCTTCCTTCTCACGAGGTGGCCAAAGTCTTTGAGTTTCCTCTTCAGGATCTGGCCTTCTAAAAAGCAGTCAGGGTTGGTCTCCTCTAGGACTGACCGGTTGGATCTCCTTGCTGTCCAAGGGACTCGCAGGAGTCGTCTCCAGCACCAGAGTTCAAAGGCCTCCATTCTTTGGCATTCAACTTTTCTTATGGTCCAACTTTCACAGCCATACATTGCAACTGGGAAAACCATAGCCTTGACTCTATGCGCTTTTGTTGGCAGGGTCTGGGTCTGGAGAGGATTGCAAAAGTAACCCTCACCTTTTAGTCTTTTAGGAAAAGGTTGCTGCTCATTGTGAGAACCATTGTGTGAATAATCAGAGTGGCGGCAGCTCTGTTGTGTGAATGCTCTAGAAACTCCGAATTTGCCCCCAGGTGCTAAAAGGTGGTGACTCCATATGTTTCCCCTCTTCAAGAATTGAGTCACTTTTCTGGTTTTTCTTCTTGAAAGGAAGGTCAGTGAATGAGCGGCAATAAACACGCTCGTATTATTTTTAGAAAGGAGATTTCCACCTTGCTTTCTCAGGGGAAAAAATGTAGCCCGTGTAAAACATATTTAAAGCTTAATTGTTCTTCTTTTTTTTTTAAAAAAAAGATAATTCAAGTAATTGCAGTATTTTTCCATATTTGTGATCAGATAGCAATAGGTTTCCCCGCTTCAGAAAGATAGGAACTAAATTCACAATTTGTTGCTGGTTCTCTTTTAAATAAGTTCTTCTTTTTTTTTGCTAAGAAATGGTTCATGTTTCTGAAGTGGTCACTCCAGGTAGTACGACCACCATGGAGCCTGACATTTCTGTCGCTAAGAGAAACATTTGTTAGGTGAATTTTGCCCATTGTATGACCTTCCTTCCAGAGGTGGTATTCAACCAGGTTCTGACCAGTTCTGGAGAACCAATAGTGGAAACTTTGAGTAGTTTGGAGAACCAGCAAATCCCACCTCTGACTGGCTCCACCAACCCCATTCTGCAGTTCTGGGTCAGCCGAATAACTGGCTGAACGAGTGGATGGATCTTTATAGTTTCTGTAACTTTGAAGTTTGGGGATTTAATATTTCAAAGAGATTGATTAGGCTTTGGGTGCTGGGTCACAATGCAGATCTCTCCGTAACCCATTGAAAGTGTGTATTAACAAGGAAATTCTAATCAGGTTATCACCTACTGTTGTACTTTCTCTCCCGTCTGTTTCAGGGATATTGGAAGAGAACATCTACAGTTTTGCAAACTCCTGGGGGATGAGTAACCAGAAGAAGAAGTGCCAGAGAGTCATGCCTCCAAGCTACACATGCAATATTTCCTCAAAGGCTGCAGAGAAGGTTTGTGTAGCAGTGTAAGACTCAGAGTCCTCCCTTATTTGAAATAACAACCAGGGTGTTGTAGGGTGGGGGGGTGGAATCTCCAGAAGATTTCAAAACAGGTAGTCCTCAACTTACAGCAGTTCGTTCAGTGACTGTCAAAGTTTCAGCGGCACTGAAAAAAAAAAGACTTCTGCTAAATAGAAGAGCCTCGGTGGCACAGTGGTTAGAGTGTAGTACTGCAGGCCACTTCTGCTGACTGCTGGCTGCCTGCAATTTGACAGTTTGAATCTCACCGGGCACAAGGCTGACTCAGCCTTGCCTTCCATCCTTCCAAGGTGGGTGAAAAGCACTGTAAAGAGGTATATAAATCTAAGTGCTATTGCTAAAGAAAGGAAGGGAGAAAGAAAAAGGAAAGAAGGAAAGAAAGAAAGAGGAAGGAATGAGAAGAAAGGGGAGGAAGGGAGGAAGGGAGGAGAAGAAAGAGGAGGGAAGGAGAAATGGGATAGATGGAGGGAAGGAAAGAAGGAAGATAGGGAATGGAGAAAGAGGGAGGGAAAAAAGGAGGAAGACATAGGAAGAGGGGCTGAGAAGAGGACCCAGGTTGTTGGGGGCAAGATGTAAACCAACTAGGGCTGTAAATCACCACGAAGCTGTATATAAGTCTAAGTGCTATTGCTAGTGCTAGTGTCTTGATTCAGGGCCATTTTGACTGGCTGTACTTCTGACCCTTCTGAGGTCAGATTGACAATTCTATATTTTTTTGGGGGGGGGGGTGTTTCCCCACTTGAAAATGCAAAGTCAACATGCTCCAGGGATCAATAACCAGGAGAGATTTGCAAGAAAGAGGAACTGAAAGGCAGTCGTGTGATCATTACAACCTTTATTAAATGTAAATACTTATGGGAATAAACCTGCAGTGCTCCTTGGAATAGACATTGGGTAAGTAGGCCATGTTCTGCCATGGCATGATGGTGCCAGCAGGCAGGATTTAAAGCTTTAATACCCAACACACTGAGCATTGATTAATTGTGGGTGTCAAGCAAACAATTAAAAATGTATGAGTAATTAACTTATAAGCCTATAAAATGCCTTCTCCTCAGTATCTCTGTACCTGACCTTAGCTCCATGTTTGTTCTCAGGCTGTGATAAGCACTTAATAGATGATAGAGATA